CACAATGTAATCACTTTGTTATCACAATGTAATTTTGTTATAACTGTGATAATAATCACAACTGTGTAATAACTGTGATAATTATCACAGTTATTATTACACAGTTATCAAAGTGATTATTACACGGTTATTATTATCACAATCGTAACTGTGTAATATAATAATAACTATAACTTTGATAACTGTGTAATATAACTGTGATAATAATAACTGTGTAATATAACTGCAGTTATTATTATCGCTGTGAGCATATCCTGTAAGCTCAACTCTAGAGACAACACCTTTTGTAATAGAAATATTGTCACCACCTGCAATGTTATAACATAAACCAACTGTTATATTTTATGAGTTTCAACAAAAGTTTTGCTCGAGGATATCCAGCAACATACACAGCTTCGTAAAGAGAGGGTATCTCTCCGAGGTCCAAGGGCTTCATATCACATTCATGCCCAACTGCCTCAACTTTTGCTTTGTACGTACCTGGTGGGTGAACCATGCTTTCTGACTTGCACGTACGTGTGATCAGCTACTACATGAGCGTTTGTAAGAATCTTATTTTTCGCGATAACAAATCCTACATCAATTACAAGCCAAGATATGAATCACAAACCATACATATACATCCGGCAATTGTAAAAAGAGTGGGTCCGACAGCAAATACATGACCGTTTGTAAGTAAATTCACAGAAGATTTCAAGCGTTGTTCTTGGTTGGAAAAGATTATGAAGTGTAAATTGTTAACAAAGGAGAGAATATGTTTACCAGAGGCACTTGATTGTTGCGGCAGCCTTTTCTGCCAAGGCTGTAAAACGCTAGACTCGGCAAAAGACTTTGACCACGGAGTTGAGCGTCAAATCAATAACAGAATACCTTTTGCGTTTTCCACGGGAAGGCATAAGCAAGAATGGCCGCGAAACCGGCTGTCAATTCGCGGTGTTTGCACTCCCGGGAAATTCGCGGTGTTCTTGTCGATCAATACATGGATATATATCCATGTACAGTTGAAGATATATTCCAAACATTACAAGTTTCTGGTATAATAACCAATGAAGCAAGTGCAACTAGCAAGCAAAAAGGTTCCAAGTCATTCCAAGGTCTTGGGTTATAAGAGCATTCTAATCTTGCTTTATACATTTCAAAAATCAAAGTCCCCTTTAATACAAATCATCATTGTATAAACCTGAATACCAAAATGAGATCTCCAGTCTCTTCTTCTAAATCAACCTATAAAAGTAGCTAAGCTAACAGTTTCTTCAAGAAGATTATCTCTAAGAGCATTTGTTATATGTGGCACATATCATGTTTGGTTCTCTAAGGACTCTCTAAGAGAAGAAGCTGGTGATGATGCAGAAAGACAAGACCGCGCTATCTTGGCTTCTTTGTCTTTGCTATACGCTTTTTTAACATCACTCTTCAGCTCCTTATATCTCATCCTCTTCAATCTCCTCTCTTTCACAGTGCCTTTCTCGGGATGCGACATATCAGGTATGTCCTCGTCCATATAGTCATCCATGTACTTATCCAAAACCTCAGAACAAGATGGGAAATACCTTCGACCTGTCTCAACTGCGTTATGAACGGTTTTCAAATCAGTTAATCTCTCGCGGTTAGGGAATATGAGTTGACGAGAACTTGAAAAGCTTTTTTACCTGTTTTCATGAGGGCTTCCATACGAGTAAGCAGTCTTTTCGTTTGCATATAAGGCGTTTCATTCAAATCGACCTGACTCAAGTTTCCGGTTGCACCATTTGATGGCGGTGGAACAGGAAGACCAGTGAACTCGCTCGTTCCTTCAACATTAGCAATGTCCATAGCCACATCGGCTTCTGTTGGGAAGAACAATTGAGCAAGTCCCACTGCAACAACACATACAAGAAAAAGTTCAGCATTTTTAGTAAGAGTCATCAACCTTAAGCTATGAGATATATATATCGGGTCAATACCTCGCTTTTCTAAGTATAACAACCTCATTTGGAGATCCTCAGGCATTGAATGGGAACAAGTCGGTGTATCCCCACTAGCCAATAGATTCCTTCTAATTTCCCTTTCCAACAAATCGATGCATACGCGGTCTTTACTAGTGTCTTGTCCCTTTGCGGTTTTGGTATAATAATCTTTCGGCCTAGTGAGTCTCCTACAGATATTAACCGCACTGCTTCCGTCAAACGTGAAATCCGAAGGATTTGCCCCTTTTTCAAGAAGGGCTATAATAATCAATGGCTCCCTACGCATAGCAGCAAAATGAAGAACCGTATAACCCCGGGAATTTCTGAAATTCACATCAGCCATATCTAGAGCAAGAACCTCAGCCACAACTTTCGGATCACTGTAAGCCACTGCATAATGCAGACCATTGGCCTGATCTAGAGTTATATCTGACTCAGTCAAAAGAAGCTTCACGAGTTCGATATCATCTGAATCCAATGCCTTGAGTACTTTCCCGATTCTCTCTAGCGATTTATCCGCCATCTCAGGGATGTTCACCGACTTAACTCGAACCTTTTTGATTTTATCTGATACCTCTAAAGGAAGCTCCTTTTCGATGCAGAATCGGTCTAAACCTGATCTCGCCACTCTCTCTATGCATTGATCAAGAAGCTGAGTCAGATCACAATGAAAAGCAACTAAAAGTATCGGAAGAACATTCTCGACTAGCGACTTCTCAACATAGTTACACAATCGCCGCTGCAGACACATGAAAACACACACAACATTAAAGTCTTAACCGAATAAAAAACAGAGAAATACAATGGTTTTCGATCTCAGACCGACCTGAAACGACGAAACCAGCTCTGGGATTTGAAACACATACGAAGCATACATCAACTCAACAGTAAAATCAATGGCAGGTTTACAAGAATCATGAGCACAAACCGTATCAACACAAGTCGAAACCTCGGTAGGAAACGGCTTTAACCTCCCAGTGTATACATAATTCAAGAAATGCAAGAACGCCTCGCGACCCACATTTCCATAAGGCAACAAATCTTTCATATAATACTTTGGTTTCTTCTCACTACTCTCTTTATCTTTCTTGAACAAATCAAGAAAAAACTTACTCCTAGCAGCTAAAACGCATCTATGAACACTCACTGCTTGAGCTTCTTCTTGGATAATGATCTCTGCGTCAGTGTAATCACAATCTGAGTTAGTGAGAAGCTGCTCCAAATTAGAACTGAGCTTGATTAAACTCACAGCTTCAAGATTAAGAGATGAATGATG